GGTGGCTTTTAGTAGCTTTCCTTTTGTTCACTCCCTGGCAAGCAGGAGACCTTCTGTGTGTGAGAGAGACCCACTCCCTTGGGGCTGGTTGAGCTGGGCCAGGTTGCAGGGGAAGGCAACAGGAAGGCCTCTTCCTGGCCTGCACTTGCCTAGAGGATCTCCATATCCCCTGGCCCTTCCTTTCTCTCTCCTTATAGTCATGGACTTGGGCCTTCAGATGAACCTAAGCTTTACCTGATTGAGGACTTAAAAGTGGCGTGGTTGTTAGATCCCAAGAAGGAATGATTGACTGCCCTTGAACATCTTCCAAGAATACTTCCTGTATGATTTGAACTGTACTTTGCTCTTTATAATGTGAATGAGATGATTTCCCCACTTAGTTTTTTCATGGATTTAGAAGAGCAGCAGAATGCACAGGACCTGGCTAGACCAGTAGGATAGCTACAGACAGATCCCTACTGTCCTGGTGTGTAGCACTGCCCTGTCACCACCCATTACCTTCCATTGTGGTGCCTTGTAAGCCTTGGCCAGGATGCCAGGAAGCCATCTGTCATCCATTCTTATCTTGTTTGTCAAAATTTCATTCCTTCCATCTGTTGAGTAGTAGACTGCATTGGATGCTAATTTACCAGATACATACAGATCAACTCCATGCTAGCTAGGCAATGTTCTTTTCCAGATACCATAGGTGTGAACCCGATTGTAATGTGTACACCTTAATGAAGGAGTTAAGGATTCAACTTTAAAACAAATAGAACTTCTGGTTTTCTATGGGGTTATCCCTAATTATGAAATCTTCATGGACATAAAAGTTTTGAAAATATGAAAAAGCACAAGGAAATAATTAAAATCTCTTTTAGAATTTTGTGACCCAAAGAAAATTGCAATTAACATTTTGATGTGTATTATTTAACCCTTTATTTCAGAATACATATGTGGGAGTTCTCCACATTCTCTTCTGATTACTTTCTTTTTCTACCTAAGAGAGTATTTATGCTTTCCATGTCATTATAGCTAGCCTTCTAAACTCTGCAGTTCATTTAGCAGTCTCATTATTATGCATTGAATCATTTTAATTTTTTTTTTTTTTTTTTTGGTGCTTTTTGGTGCTTGGGATCAAACCCAGGGCCTTGTGTACGCAAGACAAGCACTCTACCAACTGAGCTATATTACCAGCCCATTTTTTAATTTTTGTAAAAACAATGTGGTGATAAAAATGTTTATAGTTATGAGCATCAAACTTCTTTGCATATAACCTTGGAGTGCATTGCACATAGGTCAAAACAAATGCACACTTTCAAAGCTTTCAGTACATATCGCTAAGCCATCCTCTGGGAAGTTTCTATCAATTTACCTTCCTGTCAGCAAGCTTTTGAGAGTTCTCAGAATCCTTACCCATTTAAAATATATATTTTTTTATTTTAAAAGTTCCTGCTAATTTGGTGGGGAAAAAAGAAAAAGTCTCTCAACTATTTAAGTTGTATTTCCTGTTTAATAGTGAAATTCTTTATGAATGCACTTTTATACATTTGTTAAAGATTATATCAGTCAGGGTTCTCTAGAGGAACAGAATCAACAGGAAATATGATTATAAAAAGAGGCTTATTGGGTTGACTTAGGTGACCAGAAGCTGGATCGTCCACAATGGCTACCTACAGGCTAGAGAGCTGGTAGAACCAGTAGCTGCACAATCCAAGAGGCTGAAGCCCCCAAACAAGAGAGATCAAGAGTGCTACCCTAGTTCAAGACTGAAGGCTTCTGGAAGCTCCCTCAAGAATCACTGGCAGAGTCCACTTTGGAAAAGTGAGGAAGCAAGAGTCTGATATCCTCAGACAATTGCAGCAGCAATCAAGAACCCCTTCAAGAAGAATTGAGCTAGCATCTGCTGTGCTTCCTTGTTCTTCCATTTTTTTATTCCATCCAAGCCACCATCCTATCAGATGGTGCTGTCCATGCTTAGGGAGGGTCTCCACTTCAGTTTACTATCCCACATGCCAATCATTCCTAGATACAGCCTTATGACACCCCCAGAAGCCTCTTAACCATCAGCATCTCTTAATCCAATCAGGTTGCCAATTCAAATTAACCATTACAAAGATACTTTTATGTATAGTGGTGAGGTGGAACTATCCTGGAGTCTGACTATTCATTTACTGGTGACCTGGGATTAATTCCTGAATCTTCTGATACTAACTATGACCTACTTCATAGTCTGTATGAAGACTGAGGGAGGGTATCACATGAAAAGTACCCAGAAAGTACCAGGCACACAGTAAGCACCCAGTCTGTATCAGCTACTTGTATGATCTCTGTCATTTACATTTCTTCCTAAAATGAGATGTCTTTTCATTGTGTTTGCACAAGTGCTTGGTATTTTAGGGCTTTTTGTTGTTGTTAGTTTTAAAAAAATACGTACTCTATGTTTAAAAAAACTAGAAGAAATGATTTTGAAAGCTTTCACCATAAAGAAATGCTATTTAAGGAGATACATGTGCTTAGATTGATTAAGCCATTATGTAATGTGTCAATTAAAAATAAATTTAGGGCTGGGATTGTGGCTCAGTGGCATAGTGCTTGCCTCGCATATATGAAGCAATGGGTTTGATCCTCAGCACCACATAAAAAGAAAGAAAAAGGTAGGTAGGTATTGTATCCACCTACAACTAAAAAAATGTTTAGAAAAAAACAAAAACAAATTTAAAAAATAATTTTAATGGGTTAAGTAAACTAACCTACTATCTGCCTAATATTATAATTTCCCTCTAAATTCTGATTTGCTTAAATTTTGTTCCAAGTATAAAGAAAATTTGATACACACACACACACACATAACACACATATGTGTATATATACATATATGTGTATACACATATAATGGAGTTTTATTCAGTCATAAAGAAAAATGAAATTTTCATTTGCAGGAAAATGGATGGAACTGGAGACCATTATTTTAAGCAAAATAAGCCAAATTCAAAAAGTCAAGGGTCCTGTTTTCTCTCATGTGGAAGCTAGAGAGGAAAAAAGAAAAGAAAGGTACAGGGCAGGGATCTTGTGAAGATCAAAAGGAAATCAGTAGAGGAAAGGAACCTGGGGTCTGGGGGAGATGGAGAGGGGAGAGGAAGTGCTGGGGAATGATATTGGCCAGACTATATTATGTGCATGTATGAATATGTAACAACAAATCCCATCTTTGTGTATAATTATAATGCAACAATAAAAAATCTAGGAAGAGAAAAGATGTTTTTGTTCCAAGTGAGAAAATATTTTAATATCAAGACATTCAGGCCAAAATAAGGCATAGTTTTGGCCCAGGCTGGGTTTTTTTCCCCTCTCAATCAGACTGAAATGGGAGTTGCTCTCCCCTTTGTTGAGATGGTCTGGTATTGATTTTAGTCACCAGATAGCAGAAATGACATTTTAAGCAGGAAAATGTATTACCTTTAAAATCACTACCATAGAATAATGCTTCTGCTTAATTTATGTAAATAATGATCATGGTAGATGGAGGCTGTGGTTAATATGTCACGAGTTTCCATTTACCACTAAATCCAGCTTGTCAGCATTCCATTAATGGTGCTATATAAAATTGATTACCTCAGCTTGAAAGAAGCTTTTAATTTGAGATCAAAATTGCTGATAGATTTTACAGCCATTAAGCACTACTACTTTCCCACTTTTTTCTGCAAATTATATAGCAAGAGAATCTCTTTAGCCATGAAGTCTCATGTATGAGGGCAAAATATCTCCTACTTTGGCTTATATGCATGGTACTAAAAATAAAAGTTTGTCACTTCACTAGAAAAATATGCATATAGAGAACATCATTTTTGCCTTGATAAGCAGGGAAATTATCAAAAATTCTGCCTGAGCTGCCAACTTGTTTCAAAAAAACCATTAAAAGTGGGCAAATATTGCTGCATGATGTATAAATGAGAGTGGTTATATTATTGCTGTAAGGCTATGTATGATTGAAGTTTCCATATAAGAAGTTTTTTTAAAAAAAACAGTTTTGTTAATGATGTTTACCATTAGGGAATTAGAGAATGGTATTAGGGAAATGTCAATTTTTGTTTTATACCATGTGTGCCTATGTTGGCCAGGCTGAGCTTAAACTCATTAATCCCACCTCAGCTTTACCAGATGCTGGGACTATGGTGTAGGCCATTACACCTGGCTTTGAACCCAGGGTCTTGTGCATGTGAGGCAAGCACTCGACCAACTAAGCTATATATCCCCAGCCCACACCTGGCATATATTTCCAAATTTTGTACTGTACTTTCTTATTAGATTTAATCTGTTTATATTTTTGTTGTTTTACTTCAAGAATGTTTTATTTTCACAATATTTTAAGAGGAAAAAATTTAAGCTGTGATTTATACGAAAACTACTTTAAGAGTTATTCTGTACAGGAAGGAATGCTCACTAATGCTAATACAAAATTAGGAACATTTAGTGTTGGTCCCAAGACCTTATAAATTGTTCTTATTCAAAAGTCCCAGTGGGGCTTGGGTGTAGCTCAGTGGCAGAGTGCTTGCATAGCATGCTAGTGGCTCTGGGGGTAAAATAGAAAGAAAGAGAAAGAGAGAGTGAGCAGGCGGAAGGAAGAGGGAAGGATGGAAAGGAGGAAAGGAAGAAAAAAAGGAGGGGGAAAAATTCCTATGTTTACAAGACTTTTCATATTTTTTTCTGTATCTGTTTTGATTGCAATGATTGGAAGGCAAGATTGTTTCCCAAAGCAATCTAAAATTTTCAATTGCTGATTGAATTCTGCTGTCCTGTGATATTGAACTGCAGAAGCCTATACGCTGTAAAAACACAACTGTTCATGCCTTTGAGTCATATTTTTTTTTAATTGTGAGCAAAATGCTAGAGAACATCTAGCTTCTTCGGTGCATTGAATTAGGAGCACTGATCAGAACTTTTCTTTAAGCTTCAAGTCCCCTGAATGCAAATGTTTGACTGTCGCTAGAGGAATTTAACCTGTGCATCTCTTTTTGCAGGCAACATGAAGGACCGGCTAGCAGAACTTCTGGAGTTGTCCAAGAGTTATGACCAGCAGTTCCCAGATGGGGATGATGAGTTCGACTTGCCCCATGAGGACTTCGTGTTTGAGACTGACCACATCCTGGAGTCCTTGTACCGAGACATCCAGGACATTCAGGATGAAAACCAGCTGCTGATGGCCGACGTGAAGCGGCTGGGAAAGCAGAACGTCCGCTTCCTCACGTCCATGCGGCGTCTCAGCAGCATCAAGCGCGATACCAACTCCATTGCCAAGGCCATCAAGACTCGGGGCGAGAGCATCCACCGCAAGCTGCGCGCCATGAAGGAGCTGAGCCAGGCCTCCGAGGCCCAGAACGGGGCGCACTCTGCGGTGGCGCGCATCTTGCAGGCGCAGTACAGCGCGCTCACCCGCACCTTCCAGCAGGCCATGCACGAGTACAACCAGGCGGAGATGAAGCAACGCGAAAACTGCAAGATCCGCATCCAGCGACAGCTGGAGATCATGGGCAAAGACGTCTCGGGCGACCAGATCGAGGACATGTTTGAGCAGGGTAAGTGGGACGTGTTCTCCGAGAACCTGCTGGCCGATGTGAAGGGCGCGCGAGCCGCCCTCAACGAGATCGAAAGCCGCCACCGTGAGCTGCTACGACTGGAGAACCGCATCCGGGACGTGCATGAGCTCTTCTTGCAGATGGCAGTGTTGGTGGAGGAGCAGGCAGACACGCTGAATGTCATCGAGCTCAATGTGCAGAAGACTCTGGACTACACGGGCGAGGCCAAGGCGCAGGTGCGGAAGACCCTGCAGTACCAGAGGAAGGTCCCCTGCTGGACCATCTGCTGCTGCTGCTGCCCGTGCCTCAACTAGCAGCTGGCCCACACCTCCACCACCCATCCCTAGCCCGAGCCACCCTGGAAAGGACCTTCAGTGGCCAGGTCCTCTGCACTGGGCTGAGAGGCTCCCAAATCCTTAGAAAAGAAGAAACGAGAGGCTCAAGAATTGGAACCCAGCTCTTGCGGAAGGAGATAGCTGATACCTTCCAAGGTTTTTTCGGTGAAGACAAATTCCTAGTGAAGTTGTGCAGGGCAAGTTGTGTGACACTGCATTATTAAATGACACTGCATCTTTCCTCTCCCACCAAAGGTTAAGGAACTGACGTTGGACCTGACCATAGGGTTGACGACCAAAGCACGCTTCCTGTTGAAGCTCAAGGAGAAGGTCGATTTTACATTCACTCACAGTATGAACTCATCATCAAAACTTAAATTCGTTTGTCTTGTCCTGAAAGTGTTGGTTCTGTCCAATTTCTGGTGAAATTGATCTTGGGGAAAAAATGGGCTTTCTGCATTTCCGAGTCATCTGATTTATGATATGTGATTTGGGCCTAGAGGTAGACCTTTCTCCTCACCTCCCCTATCAATAAAACCCACATGGAACGCTTTCTATCCCATAACTTTCTCTTTTAATACCTTCTACCACAATAGATTTTGTGATTATTTTTCCAAATAATTTTAAGCACTGAATATTGAAGAAGCACTCAAATAGAAGTATATATCAGTCATATTTTATGTATTTTCACAGATAAGATTTATTTAAAATTTACTTTTTTACTTGATTGCATATACACAAATGTATGTAAATGTAAAATACTAATATTCACTAACGTGTACATAATGACCAATTGGCTTTATCTTTACTTTGTAAATATGTATATAAATATTAAGAAAAACACTTTTCCTGGCTGTTGGTATTAGTTTGCTTGTTTTGAGTTTATCTCCCTCCAATCTGCTTCTTCGTAGTCCAATTTGGATCCAAATTATATTTTGAAAAACTCTGTATTGGTTATGTTAGTAAAGACAGGTGTTAAAGGCTGAAAACATATGGAACCAGAGACAATAAAATTATGTGCTTGGAAATAGTACTTTTGTTTTAATGGTAGACCATTCCTTTTGTACATTAAGATGGAGTAATTTAAAATGAAATAATTCTGTTTTTCAAGTAAACTTTAAAACATATTATAAATATCCATTTTAAACATTTGTATCTTGACCATTTAAATCTCGGCTTACTTTTTCAATTATTACTAATTTTCTCCCCCACTAGGCTACTTGAGGCTACACCATCTAGATGGATCTCTGAGCACAGGGGGGAAAATGATAAACTCAAAGAATTTAGCTACAGGTGTCTTGCTTTCTCTCCTGAGTTATAACAACTTAGCAAAGTCATCAGGTTTTAAGATTTGGTTTCATTTACCATGCTTCTAGTGTTTCTTCTGAGTCAACTCTTAACTCTTTTTCCCCTTATTTAATACAGAAGCAATTTTAATCAGCAGTCATATTTCTCAGGCCCTCCAGAAGACGAGATTTTTTTTGAAAGAGTAGAATGTGAACTCTTTGAGGCTCACTGCCTGACCTGCTTAAGACCAGGTAAGTCTAGCCCTACCTACAACATATTTCATGGTGTAAATATGACAATTGTAGAAACTGGGTCCCACCAGACTTTTCTCAGATTTCTCTCAGTTTCTTTCCAGCTAACTCCAAGGATATGTTTCCCCTTTGACTTAATACCCTCCTCCCTATAGCAAGGGAAAGAGTCTTCATACAGTTCCATTGTGGTAGTTTTCACTGTAGGAA